GCGCTCCCGGCGCCGCTGGGGCCTCGGGCGGGGGGACGGGCCGGGCCCGGCGCTCCCCGTGAGGCGCGGCGGGGGGCGGAGAAGCCCCGTCTCCTCGGCCAGCAGCTTTGTTTGTCGGGCCCTGCCGCGGAAGAGGAGCGGCGAGAGCCGGGCGGCGAGGTACCGGTGCCCCCGTCTCTCTTCGGGGCCTTCCTCCCCCGCCTGTGCTTCCCGGGCGCTGCCTCCATTCCCGGCGGGTTTCTTCCACCCCTCTCGGCTGGATATCTCGGCTCCGGAGCATCGTCGGTGGGAGCGGCCGGAGCGAGAGCGGGTGGAGGACTAACACGGGGGAAACAACAGGTCTCCCTTCGCCTCGCCTTCCAAAGCGATACCAGCGCCTTGCTCTTGGGATTATAAATGAGTGAACTAAGACCCAGGAAACTGGAAGGAGAGCCTCCCGTTGGAATTAACCGAAGAGAAAAGAAGGGAGGCTTTTCCAGATCCTGTACGAGAAAGCTCATGCTGTTTTCCCATGCTGCCCATACTCTCTTTAATAATGTGATTGTGACCTGAGTGGAATTTATGAGCGATGAACTATTGAAGCTTATTGCACCACTGCATCAGACTACATTTTTTTTTTTTTTTTCCTCAGCACATGATTCCCCCATCCCAGCTGTTGCAGGACCTCTGGGCTGGTAATAGAGGGATGGGAAGCTGAGACAGTTTATTTTCATATTCTTCTTTTCTGGGGACTTGGCTAGTTAGCTGAAGCTGCTGCTGCTTTTTACTGGATCTGCTCTTTTCTCAGTAGGTTTATTTGTTTTCATGTGCACGGAGTGTTTCAGTTAAATAGACGTTGGACTAGAGCTGAATGGATGCTTTGCAATCTGAAAGGTTTTTTGGGGTAACAAAAAACTACTAAAAACAGAGAAGAAGTGGTACTGCAGGAAACCTGGGGCCCGTTTTCCAAGCCTTTTTATTTTATTGAGCAAGGTAAATAATGTAGTGGTGTTGAAAATACAGTTTATCGTAATCATGCATGAAAATGTTATAAAGCACTTCAGGCTGTTCCAAGCCTTTCAAGGGACTGGGAGATCCCACTGTAAGGGTCAGAATAGGTTTAATTGTTCTTTAAAATGTTTAGATATGAGTGTGAAATTTAAGGCTGAGAACAAACTTTGGTACCTGAGAGGTTGAGAAAAAACACTTTTTCTGATTTGCCTTAGGTTCTTGTAGGTTTGTGATGTTGAGAGAGGCTGTCTGAGGAACTTTGGAAGGCTTAGTGGCTCACTGAGGGTGAGCAGTAATTATATTAGTGTTTTTTCTCCATGCTTCTTAAAAAACTTGATGCCCTAGCCTCTTGTAAGGATCTGTTAGGGTCTCCTAAAATTTAACAGTACTACAGTATTTACGTGGGCATTGTTAATTGTATTCATACTCTGCCTTGAATTATTTTTGCTTACCTTCACTTTTGTTATCCACAGTGACAGCTGCTACGACTTCATAATGAATTTTTTGCCTTTTATCTTCCTTTACCTGTGTATGTTCTGAATTGGACTATTTGGATTTACCACTAATTTACATGCATCACTTTTACCATAGACTTTCCACAGCCAGCATAAGCTCAAAGTACTGTTTTAGATACTATCTTTGTATGTTTCAGGTGTTGGAAGAAGCAGATAATGATTCTCAAAATATGCAGTGTAATCAGTTACTGGTTTAAGTGTATAATTTTTGGTGGCATGCTGCGTGCTTATCTTTGTTTTTTAAAGATCTCAGCAGCAGTTTACTCTTAAAAAATATAAATCCATTAAAATGAGATCGCAGTCTGAAACGTAGCTGTAAAAATCTGGTTTTGCAAGAAGGCAGAAGATTCTCATTATGAAGTGATGCCTTGATTAAATTGTATACCTTTTCTCCTGCAGTCTTAATGAAATAGTGGCAAATGCTAAGGTGTTGGCAGCCTTTGCTGATGCTATCATTGGGAAAGCTAAGTTGGTATTATGGGTAGTATCCAAAGTTCCTTTGCTTATCCTGTTTAGATTTGTTTGACTTCAATTTATGGTCTTTGTTTTGTTTTATTTTGTTTCAAGATGATGTGTGAGGTGATGCCAACCATCAGTGAGGCAGAGATTCCCTCTGGGGGAAATGGAGGCCATGGTTCAGGTTCCCCGTTACAGTCAGATGCTGATTCCCATTTTGAGCAATTAATGGTATCCATGTTGGAAGAAAGGGATCGCCTTCTGGAAACACTAAGAGAAACTCAGGAGACGCTAGCATTGACCCAGGGCAAGCTACATGAAGTTGGTCATGAGAGAGATTCCTTGCAGAGACAGCTGAATACTGCACTTCCACAGGTATGGATGTTTTGAAAGGAAGGTATCTTTTGATAATTTTTGTATTCTTTGTGGTTTTTTGTTGGCTTCTTGTATATTTATTTTACTGAAGAGTCAGGTTATGTTAGGGGAAGATCCATCTAACTTAGTACTTTCCTGAAGGATCTGTTGATGCGTGCTTGCTTTGAGAAAGATATAAAAGCAAGGCAAGCGGGGAACATCAGCCCTTTCCCTCCAGTATGCTTTCCCAGTTTCTGGCATTTCTTTGGCTTAGCTTGAGCGTGAAGTCTTATCTACATCCTTTTGTTTAATAGAACTTGATGGACTTTCTTCTGTCACTAGTGTTTTTTTTTTTAATGTTGTTTCTAACTGCCTGATTCATTCACATGCTTAAGAATTGCACACAGGCCATCCTGGGAAAGCAAGCAGGTCATTCTGGTACCATTATGGACTTTGATTTAAAAACTTGAAAAATTCAAGACTGCAACCTTGTGAATACATGCTGAGTTGTCATGGCAGTGTAGAAGTCCGAGTGTGTTGTTTAACTCATGTAGTTCCTTTTGGAGGGTTTGGATTTGTTTTGGTTTTTTTTTTTTTTTGGTCTTGCTAGAAGTTACTAATTATTGACTTTGGGAGGATGCAGTGTACCAACATACAGCCCGTAGTGCTAAATGTGTTAGGGCAGTAGTGCGTAGTTAGGAAAGGTGATTGGTGTCTACAGAACTTCTCGGGTTTTATCCATTCTAGTTAAAAAGAATACAAATGAACTTTGAACACTTTGAAAAGCAGTTGATTGTAGGCAAAGCAGAGGCCGCTTTCAGGTGTCAGTTAACTGTTGATAGCCTTATGCTTTCTAGCATGGTTGGTGGTTGTCCCAAGTATGTCATGGTGATGTTATACTTGCATACGTTATTCCAAGAATACTTACTATTTTTACAAACAGTTACATATCCTTAAATATTGTAGTTACTGTTTATACACTTTAAAACAGTAGTTTTAAATACTTCTGTTTCCACTGCTCTCGTTATAATGTAATCACTGTATGACTCTTGGTATGGTAATCGGTACTGGCAGTTACTCAGGGTTAGAAACTAAAAAGTAATACATGTTAATCTAGTTGTGTTACAGTGGTATGATGGAAATCAGAGTTTCCAAACCTTTGCTGCTCCTTGTGTTAAATCATGTGCTGCAGGCAAAAATCATTCTTTGTTTTTTTTGTTGTAATAATTGTGGCTTCTCTTTAGCCACTATTTCAGGTCTGCTACATTAATGGATGCCATTAACCAATTGTATGATCTGTAAACTGTTATACTTGAATTTGTGGCTAAGTAGAATCACCCAAGCTCTAAACCGTACTGTTCCTTTTTTCCCTTTCCAGTTCTCAGCTTTCCTTCCTAAATCTAGTAAGCTACTTACATGTAAACGTTTCTAAAAGATTAATGCAGTTAAAAAAACAATTCCCATTTTCAAGAATGTCATAATTGTATGGTTTCATGTGAAATCTGTAGGAAAGCAAGTCTCACAGTTCAGCTGAGAGAGAAATTTTACTGTAATTTTCTATAAATATACAGCAGTGTATGGATTTTTGCAGGCGGCTGTTGAAAAATGCTGTTGTCATGGTGTGAAAACTGTGCCACTTTTGTCCTCAGTGGTGCTTAGGCTCAATGGTTGTGGAAGGTGACAATTGATCATGGTTTCCAAAGTAAAAGTATTTTATTATTCTTGCTACAATCAGAAATAACTTCTGTATTTGACAAGTTTTTGTTGTTGTTATGGTAAAGAGTCAGTTACTTCATAGGTGTAAATTTCTGCTGAGGTGAAAAAAAATTTTTTTTTTTTTAATTCTAAATAAGCATTCACTAGGAAAACTTTGTGGTGACTGTAATATTTGAAACTATTCAAACTTTTTAGTTAATTATTTCAAGCTGAGCATTCTTTTGAACTGCTGTCTCAAATGACCCGTTCTTTAGCTGTGGATTTCAAGGAGGGGTAGAAGCAGGATAACTTGAAATTTACTGACAACTGTACATTTTTTTCAGGAAAGAAGGGATTTAGTAGTCTACATTTTTTAAATTTTTTTATCATAGTCGTTGCTTTCAATTTAGTAGAAAGAGATGCGAAGATCAATTTAACTAGTTGTACAAATACTAGTATAATTGCAGAATTACTAAATCACTATGTAACCAATGTATCATTTCTCCCTCAGGCTTGGCATGTAGCTTGTAACATGTCTTTGTAGTTGATTTTGGAGTACTTTATCTTAAGGAGTATTGAACTGAGTTGTTTGTATGTGCACTTTTCCTGTTTTATATATTTAGCTGAATCAGCCAGTTAGACCGTTCTGATGCCTGATGGAAACTCCTTGTATAAAAGAAGGAATGCCAGATTGATTGCTTCTGTACTAAAACTACTTCTCTGTTTTTAGTATGAAGGCACTCAATTTCTAATGGCATCTGTGTACGTAATTCCTTACATTCACCAAGTTTCTGTGTATAGGGAAGAGGCTCGTACTGGTATGTATGTAGGTACAAAATGGCAAATCGGTGCTTGTGTGTTTGCATGTCTTGTAGATTATAAAAGTAAATGCAATTTATTCTGCAGCAATGGTGCACATTCTCTGAAGTGTCAGAGAAGTAGACTTTTCTAGTATGCTTGTAGTGTGGTGGTCAGCTAGTAATTTAAAGACATCAGTTCTAGCTCACATATCCCAAATAGCTGTTTCAGGTTTAAGACGACTTTTGTGTGGATGTCTAATTCACAGAGAGGAGAGCATTCTAATCTTATATAGATGTGCTTTATCTGTTACATTTACAGAGTAAAACTGACAAGTTTTTCTTGTATGGACAGCTGGAAATGAAATATATCAACATTGCCTTGATAAAATAACTGGATTCTTGGCAATGCTTTTTGTTTTCTGGGAGTTACCTTCTATTACAGATTACCCTAGTCAAACTGTACTCTGACCTTGGAAGATGAACTTGATGAAATCAAATTGCTGTGCAAGAACTTAAAATTAATGTTATTCTTCCTAGAATTTTTCGCAGAAAAAATGAAAATGAAGTTTTTACTTTGAGAACTTAAGAGAACTTTTATTTTTAATGTAAACACATTCAGTTATGATTTAATTATGGTCTTAGTGGATTTAATTATGCCCTGTATGTGCCTTCTAGAGTGTGTTCTACACAATTCAAGGTTTGTGTACTTAAAATTTGTAAGTTAAAAGCGTACAGAAAAACATGTGAAACCTGTGAAACATACAGGATGCTACTGCATGTAAAAGTTAAATTTTGGACTTAAGGTAGATAAGGTCCAAGTGACCACCAGTTCTTGCTATTAAGGTGTTGCAGGCTTGGGTTCAATTTGCTGGTAGAACTTCATGTGGAAGCTTCTGTAAATGACAACAGCATGCTTGTTTTGGGTGGAGAAGACTAGAGTTTAATTTACAAAGACTCTGGTACCTAGCACAAATAAAAGCAAAGTTGATGAATTCACAGCTCTTATCGGGATGGCAATTTTAATATGTATGTTAAGAATTTTATAAGCTGATGTACAAATATTATGCTTACATAGTACAGCAGTGCTGTTATTAAGATCCATCTTAATCTTGTGCTTCTAATCTTTTGGTCTTAAATTTATCATACTTTATTTTCATTTCTATGCAAGGTACGTAAATTAAAAGTTAAAAGTTTTTTCTGTATTTGTGATGGTCGTGTTCAGAATTTCTGTATTTGGCAAAGTATATGTAGGGGCAGATGAGAACCTTCTGTCAGAGGCTGTGTGTGTCTGTGTGTAAATAAGAGCATTTTACTGTAATGTGGAGTTAAATGTGGAAAAAAAAAAACAACCCAAAACCAAACTTGCCTATAATTTTGGTTTGGCTTTGGCTTTACTAGGTTGCCCATTGTATCTTAAAGTGAGTCCCCAGCAGGCCATCTTTAGTTGCATTCTATCTATAGTAAATATTTTATCACTACTGCATGCTTCAGTTAAAAATCGTTTGTCTGTTTATATTTGTATTCAATTAAATTCAGGTATGTTTCTATAGAATGATCTTCCTTAGACAATCTCAGAAATACTGTTCGATGTCTCACATGTGAGAAATATCTGAACACTTGGCCTGAAGACTGCCCTGGTATTGTTTTATAATTATGAACTTAAGGATTTAGTCGCCATTTTAATAATGGTGTTATTTGGATTTCCTCCAGAGAAGTTTTAAATAATACAGGATGTCATAGATGTAGAAATGAGGTTTTGTATTGTACATAATATGAAGAACACAGTTGCAGAAAGTACATTAAGTAAAGGGCTTGCCAAACTTTGCAACAGCTGAAATTTCCTTAGCATTTTAAGTGCAACTCCGTTCACAGTATTCGGAACAGTTCAGCCTTGAGGTGACATAGCTTATACTTCTTGCTCCAGCAAGATGTGGTACTGACTTCTAAATAAAAGCCATTAGTCTCAGCAGTGAGCCTGTGTGTCTAGAAATGATAGAGATCCAAAAGGATTTCAAACGTGCAAATGTGTGTCAGAGCAAACATATCCTCCACTTCTCTCATCCTGTTCTGACAGCAAAGATGACTCTTTCTGTTGCTTTTTCAGACAACTATAATTTTAGTCTTGTCTATGTTGAGTTGCTAAATCTTACTTGCCTCTTACTGTTAGTAAATTACTGGATAGATTGGTCTTTATCTACACTAGTTTGTCAGGTGGAGATAGGAGTTAATGTTTAGAATTCTTCACTGACTATATCAATAAACCTCAATTTCCCTAACATTTCTTTCTTTGCCAGGCATAGAAACAGCCAACTTTTGTCCAAAACCTTCAGAATATGAAATTATCTGAAAGTATGCTCTATGATTGGGCAAAAAGAGGAGTAGCTACACTTCAACAGTATAGTGGAGTGTATTGAGGACCAGGTCTCTAGCGTTTGTTCTGACTTCTTTGTTTCTCATTTAAATATGTTTGGGTGAGTTTGTTTATTGAAACATCCCACCCCTGCCCAGCAGACGTCTGCTTGCCTA